CTCTTCTCATGGGTGTTTCCCTGGATTTGTCTTCCATGGATTTGCCAGTATCCATTATCAAAGCTTATAAAGCAAGAGTGAGTCTTTTTACAGTTGTTTCTTCTACTAATGTTGTACAGGGTGTAGCTGTTGCTCCCATAAAGGGTGTAACAACCTTTTTTAATACACAAGAGTAGATGTTAAACTCCATGCTGATTTGTACTCGGCTTTCGCCAAGATAAGCACAAACTAAGACGTAGCTTTACACTAAACTATGCTTCTCCATCCATTTACGCTTTTTTCCATATTGTGGTGTTACTCTCCTTCTGTCCGGCGTTAACGGATGCAGTGTACTTGGCGCGTCAGCACACGCGACGGCTGCAACTACAGTGTGGTCTCCCCAGTGGATCAGCACGACAACCGTCTGGATTGAGCCGAGTAGGGGACATCTCTAGGGTTCTTCATGGGCACCTTCCGTCCTCAGTGTTTCGTCGACTAGCCGACGACACCTCAAGAGGCCCCTCTGTCCCCCTCTCAACTCAGCCCAGCTTACTGACCTCTACATCCCTCCTGCTGCTAAGATCTTCTCACAATCTCTCCGCAACCCAACCATATGCGCCAACCCGTTTGGCAACATGACACTGCGTTTGACTAAGGCTGTTGAGCCGCACTGTTGCATTAAAGTGGCATCCCACCTACAGCAAAACACATATAGCCTAGGTTTATATTCATGAAAACCATGTTGCCAAGCTTTTAAGATATTAGAGAGGATTTTCAAACCTTTAAATGTGATTTACGTAATTTGTGGAAAATTATTCATTAATTTTACTCTTATATCAGTAATTTAAAAAATTAAATTCATTGCAAGTTTCATTGTAAGATGTCTGTGTATCAAGATGTCATGTCTCATTTCAGTTTATGTGATCCTGACATTAACCTCTCAAAATCTGAATCTATCAGTCAACCTGTCAACACTGAGCAAATTTTGAAGCCAAAGAACAGCCTGAAAAGGTCACTGTGGTCCCCTTGCTTTATACCTTTCACCACCCCTGCCCAAGGACAGGACAGAAATGGTATGAATGGGAAATGAAGCCTCCAGACATCCAACATTTACCTCTGGTAAGAGGAGCCTCGACCCAAGCTCTATAATACTCCACACCAGTGGAGATTTGGTTAAAAAAAAGTCCCATGACTCACATAGAGTATGTCTAAACAATGAGATAACACCCGATAAGAGAAGGGTCTAAACAAATTTCAGCATGTTCCTCTTCACCTGTGAAAAAAGTATACATATGGAATTTGGGGTAACCAAATTCTTCTTCTTCTTCTTCTTCAAAAAAAAAAAATATATATGAAGAGTTCAGATGCAAAAGCCTCTAAATGCCATTTGAAATTTTCTTCTAAAATGACCATTTTTATCAAGCTTGTATTTAAGTTCAGTAATTTCACTTAAATGACAAATAATAGGTAATCTTCATTGCCATTTAAGTGAAATTACTGAACTTAAATATACAAGCTTGATAAAAATGATCATTTTAGAAGAAAATTTCAAATGGCATTTAGAGGCTTTTGCATCTGAACTCTTCATATATATTGTGTTCAGCAGAAGAGAGAAATTCATACAGGTTTGGAACAACATGATGACACAATTTCCCTTTTTGGGTGACCTATCTCTTTTATAATGGCATTATAAATCTGAAATATTTATTACTCATTTTACATAAGTGTTTCTGTTTTAAACAAAACTCGACACTTTTCTCTTTTTTCCCAAGTTTAAAATAGATTTGAATGTGATCTGAACATGACTGAATAATTAAAGTTACACCAAAACAACTTTTTAGGGTTGGGTCAGGTAGTTCTTAAGATAACGACTGCACAGTGTGGTTTCTAGCTTGTTATTTATGATCATTAGCTAGTATAACCAGGTCTAAACAAGCTCAACCTTGTTAAAGGTGGTGGTAGACCACTTTGGCTAAACTGGGAGGGACCCATAACCAGTTTCCATGTTCAAAAACCAGCCTGACCACATTAAGCTAACCCGGTTTTTCAAGCAAGTTAAACATCATAGTCACAAAGGTATGTTTCCACACTTTCAGAGAAGTGACTCCCATGATCATTTGTGGAGGACAACTTAAATGTCATCTCAAAAACAAAGATGAGCATTGAAACGACCTCAAACAACAAGAAATTTCCACATGACATTTTGTGTTTGAGAGGTTAGAGGTAAGAACAGTTTTCTTTGACGATTTAAAATTCCCATTTTCATAATCGTAAATGTCAACATAAGTGGAGCCAGCTGATCTTTTGAGTGTTAAACCAAACTAATTTTCTGACTAAGTATCATGTTTTAGAAATGAAATGTCTCTGTTAAAGAAAGATGGCATGTTTGTTTTGATAGCATGGCATGGAGACCACTGAAACCCAATGAGCACATGTTTAGCATCATTCTGCTTTTTATGCTTTAAAAACCTCCTATAATCCTGTAGTCATAAAAATTTTGGTCTCATTATAATTATTTTCACACAACAGATGGTTTCATTTAGCAATGTTTCATTTCTCTCTGATTTACTGCCACAAGCTAACAGTACTCTCAGTGCTAGCCATATGCTAGCTATCACAAAGAAACCTGGTCTAAATTATCTCAGAGTTAGCTATAGCAGTGCTGTTTGTCTGCACTTTTTCTGGTTTAGTTTTACCGAATTTGGTAACCAACAGCTTATTCGGTTCAACGTCACTCCATCCTTGACGTCTTCAGAATCATATTTCCAAAGTCATTCAGCAAAAGCAAACAGTTGCTAGCCTCAATTGTCTTATAATAAGAGAGAAGGGATGATAGGTAATGCAGAAACAACATTTCTGAAGACCAAAGAGCCAAATGTATGACAGAAACCCTCGCTGCTTTCCCCCTCTGAATTGGCAGTCCTCGCTGAGCTAGCCGCAGTCTTTTTCCAATTACAGTAATCACTGCACAGAAGTAACAAAAATCCTGAATGGCTAGGGATGGTTTCGACAGAAAAGCTCTGCACATGCACTGCATGCTGAGACTGTGGTGAGGAGAGATTATGGTAAACGTCAAACCTACCATTAGAACCTGTCTGGTTTTCCACTCAACACAGACCTTACTCACTTGGTATATGCTAAATATGTAATTTTTGTGACACAACCCATTTCGTCAACAGTAATGAAATGCAAAATACTACACATTTGTGAGCGCACTTTTCCAGGACACTATACTTTTAACTAAGCATCAACGTTGTGCTGTCAATAAAGATATTTATTTACCATGGTAAAACATGGTAAATAATAAACAATGGTGCTTTTACGTTGGTTAATTCTTTGTAAAATATTCACAAAATTATGTAAAACAATCAAAATGAATTGGCTTGATTATAGATTAAAGTGCTATATTTATACACCCACCCACATTTTATATCTGATTTTTATATTTTTATCTATGTATTTATTATGTCTAAATAATATATTTATTATCTTCTAAATATTATAACCAAACTTTATCATCATCACATGTAAGTAGTAGTCATACAGTATTTTATGTACATCACATGTAAGTAGTCATACAGTTTGAATATTTTCTCATAACAATAATGTCACCTAGTGGAGGATATTTGACATGACTGCTGAAGTAAAAGAGTAAAACTACTGCCACTGAACATTATCAGCTTAAACATTTTTTTATTATATATATATATATTTTAACTGGATTGCTGATCTTAAAAATAAAATTTGTATTAAAAACATGAAAATGCTATAGATTTTTGCCTAAATTCTTCCCTCAAAAGACCTCATCAAAAATATATTTAAATTAACTCCTTAGTGAAAATGAATACGCATTAAACAAGGTATTATAAATGCATACCCCCGCTTTCACAGGCATGGCTTAATATAGACCCAGACTAAAATGCATGTCTGAGCTGGTTTAACTGAAAGCAACTTGCACTGACATATCTTAAAATAATTCACTGTTTTGTCTCATGATACACACCTTTTTTTTTTCCCCCTAATGCACATTTATAAAAGGCCAATTAAAAATTTAACTAAAGCCTAATCCTAGCTTTATCTAAACCCCGTCTGTGAAACAGGGACTTTGTCACTACCCTAAATAGTCGCCTTTTTCCACCTTTGTTGCCATTGGCTTTTGGCTTGCTTGGTTGGGGACATTACAATTAATTTAATACAATTTGATTTAATATTTAACAATAATATTGTTATATGCCTGCATTGACGCCATTTTATGAGAACTGAACTGCTGGACAATGACATCACAGTTTTCTCCAGAACAGCTATAAATGATAACTTTTTCACAACAAAAGTGAAACATCATTGAACTTACTTAAAGGAGTATTTCACTTTTAAAAAAACTTTTGCTGATAATTTACTCACCCCCATGCCATACAAGATATCCATGTCTTTCTTTCTTCAATCGAAAAGAAATTAAGGTTTTTAATGAAAACATTCCAGGATTTTCTCCATATAATGGACTGCAATGAGAACCAAACGGTTCAAGGTCCAAATGAGAGTTTCAGCGCAGCTTCAAAGGGCTTTAAACGACACCAGGCGATGAACAAGGGTCTTATCTAACGAAATGATCGGTCATTTAAAAAAAAAAAAGCACAAATGCTCGCCTTGCTCTGTTCTGTGATGCACGTTCGTGACTCTCCTGTTCCAATTCGTTCATCAAAATGAACAAATCTTTTTTTGGTCATGACTCGAAGGGTCCTAAGTAAGACCCTTATTCATCGTCTGGTGTCGTTTAAAGCTGCACTGAAACTCTCATTTGGACCTTGAGGTTTGGTTTCCATTGAAATTTTGTAAAAAGCGCTATATAAATAAATGTGACTTGACTTTGTAAGCACAGTATGCAATAATTATGTTTTGAAGAATAAAAACTACAGTTCCCAGAATGCTCTAGGATTATCCACAGGAAGTAACAGTAGCATCAAAAAAATCTTTGTAGAATTGCTCAATGTTACATTGTCTAACCCCCTGATAGCTCCAAAGAGAAGGGCAGAGAGACATCACTTCATGATGAAGTTGCTTTGCGGTTTTACCTTGTTACTAGCAGTTGCTGTTGCCTATTACATCTACATCCCATTGCCCAAGGAAATCCCAGAACAATGGAAACTGATGGTGTTGGATGCCATATTTCGAGGAGTTGTGAGTATGGTAAGTATCACAATTTAACCAGTCTGCCAAGTGAATTAAGGAAATGATTTTGATTGGCTGGAAAGATGTCTATATTCCATTCTCAACTAAAATAGTTTGATAAAAGACTTTTTAACAGAAACAAAAGAACAATAAAAGTGTATACCTGCTTTGCCATTACATTTAAGCAGAGCATATTCCTCTAAGGATTTTTGCTTTTAGTATATTTAGTACAACATACTGCACGATACAAAATAATTAGCATAAAACTTAGACAACATCCAGTGGGCTATTTGATATTAATAAAGGACCATTTGTTTTTGAAGAGACGTGACCTTGATTTGCCTGTTCTGATGAACTTTGACCAACTTGGCAAAACTGTATAATACCCTAGAGCAGAATGAAATGTTCTCTGTCTTCATGAACTTTTCTCTCTTTTTCAATGCACCAAAAATATCATGCAGACTGCATTTCAAAACCACAATGAGGGGAACAGTCAGTTCAGTTAATTGTTTTCTGACCTTGTTGTTTTGTAGGGAGATGTTGCTCACTCACTAGGCTTGAGCCATAGTGTCCACGTCATCAACTCCGCCATAGTCAATTTCGAGAGTTTGGTGCCGATCACAAACCAAGAGATCCAGGCTGAAGATATCCTGTTTGATGGGGTACATGTGCGTGTATACCACCCTCCTGGGCGGGAAGAAAAGCTGAGGAGAGCAGTTATGTTCATTCACGGAGGTGGATGGGTCTTGGGTGCTCCAAGTATGTCCAAACCATTATACACTTTTCATGATAAATCAGGAAGCAGGAATCCCTCTGTCCTATTTTGAGTTGTGTTTTCATGTGACTGCTTATATCTGCCATCAGAGTTGGGGTCATATGACAGTCTCTGCAGACAGATGGCGGCTGATCTGGACGCAGTGGTTGTGACGGTGGAGTGAGTATACTCGCATTCATAGGAAGAGATCAATCATCTACGGTTCTGATCAGCCACACTGAGTGTTCATTTTGTGCAGTTATCGCATGGCTCCTGATGTGCACTTCCCAGTGCAGTATGAGGAGTGTGTGCAGGCCGCTAAACACTTCCTGAAGCCTGAAGTGCTGGCGAAGTACTCGGTCGATCCTGAGAGAGTGGCAGTGTGTGGAGACAGTGCTGGAGGGAACCTGGCCACTGCAGTGGCTCAGCGGGTACACTTCCATTTTTATTGCCCTCATTTCAGGTCATATTGTCTGTTAAAGGGATAGTTTATACAGACATGAAAATTCTGTCATTATTTACTCACCCTCAAGTTGTTCCAAACAAGTATGGAGGAAATGTAAATAATTGTTCTGATCGAATGAATGGGGACTGGAGAGTAGTTCACTTTAAAAAAAAAAACTTTTGCTGATAATTTACTTACCCCCCATGTCACCCCAAGATATCCATGTCTTTCTTTCTTCAGTCGAAAAGAAATTAAGGTTTTTGATTAATTGTTCTTCATATAATGGACTTCAGTGGGAACCAAACGGTTCAAGGTCCAAAAGACAGTTTCAGTGCAAACTGCAAACTGTTCAAAGGGCTTTAAACGATTCCAGGCGATGAATAAGGGTCTTATCAAGCGAAACGCCTCGCCTTGCTCTGTTCTGTGTGACTCTCCTGTTCGAACTCGTTCATCAAAATGAACGAATCTTTTTCTGAGTCAATTTGTTCATTTTGTTCGTTGAATGAACCAAATGACTCGAGAAAAAGATTCATTCATTTTGATGAACGAGTTCGAACAGGAGAGTCACGAACGTAAATCACAGAACAGAGCAAGGCGAGCATTTGAGCTTATAAAACTTAAACTTTGTTATTTATGTTTGAAATGAGCGATCGTTTCGCTAGATAAGACCCTTATTCATCATTTGGAATCGTTTAAAGCCCTTTGAACAGTTTGCAGTTTGCATTGGAACTCTCATTTGGATCTTGAACCGTTTGGTTCCCAGTGCAAGTCCATTATATGGAGAAAATGCTGGAATATTTTCATCAAAAACCTTAATTTCTTTTCGACTGAAAAAAGAAAGACATGGACATCTTGGATGAGTAAATTGACAAAAACACAGGCATCATAACTGTATCATAACTGTCCATAATGCTTGTGAGCTTTATTTCATGATGTGCAAAGCCATACGACTGCTTTGCAATTTTTGTTTCTCATAAAATTTATTTAAAAAAAGAAAAAATCTAATGTTTTAATAACTACTGTTACTGGATCCTTGAGAATCGGATTAGTGAAATAAATCTCTTGACTGAGTAAAGAACATTTGGCAACTCAGTCAAGAGATTTATTGAAAAGATCCGACTCAAAAGAACGGATTCATTCAGATCGTGATCAAGATATTTTTTTTCATAAGAATGACATAAAAACTAATTATTTTTGTTTTCTCTCACTAGATTGGAATAGACAACAGTACTTCTGTGAAATTCAAACTGCAGGTCTTGATTTACCCAGTGCTCCAGGCGCTAGACTTCAACACAGCTTCCTATCAGCAAAACCACAATGTTCCAATCCTCTATCGCAGGCTAATGGCCCGTTTTTGGTTGGAGTACTTAGACGCCGACCCTGACATCGTGCACTCCATTATGATGAACAAACACACCGCCCAAGACCAAAGCATGCTGTCCTTACATCGTACAAAGCTGAACTGGACTAATCTCCTCCCCAAACGAGTGATAAAACATTATAAGCCTGTTTTTCCGCTGACTGGCTCTCCTAGTATCTTAAAGGATGTACCAGCCTTATTGGATTCCAGAGCTGCTCCCTTACTGGCGAGCGACGAGGTTTTGCGTATGGTGCCACGTGCTTACATTCTTACCGGTGAGCATGATGTTTTGAGGGATGATGGGATGATGTATGCCCGCAGACTGGAGCTGGCAGGGGTCTCTGTCACTAATGACCATTACGAAGATGGTTTCCATGGCTGTGTGAGCTTTGCTTTCTGGCCCTTACACTTCTCTGTGGGAATAAGGGCAGTGCGCAATTATATTGCTTGGCTTGACGAACATTTGTAAGTAGCTGACATGTAAGACGACATACATCTAAAATGCGTCTATTATTAGAGATTTCCAGATTGTGATGCATTATTTTGCAGCATGACTGATGATTTATATTGTAAATCAAGAAACTGATACCGTCTTTCAAATAACGACTAACACATTTAAGCATTTTTTTAAAACTAATGTACTAAGAACCAAATGACAAAGGAATTTCTCTTGGATATATCTATACATACTGACATGATTAATATCAGGTGCACAGAATATTTAAGTATTCAAATTATACTTACATTTCGTCTTTACTACCACCTACTGCACTCCCCAAACAGGTCATATTATCAGCATACATTTCATAACATCTGTGCTAGACTTTCACTCCAAAGACCTGCAATTAAATGAGTTATATTTTTACTGTGAAACATTGAGTGAATAAAAGTATGAACATTGTATTGAAGCTGCAATAAAATAAAAGCACATTATGGAATATTTATAAATATTGTCACGTTATTGAGACTACTTCTTTATGCGTACAGATGTGACGTAATGACTCAATATAGCTTTTACTAGCCGAGACTCCTTTATGTACAGATGCGACATAATGAAATAGCCTATAAAAGACGCGGAAATCCACTAGTACCACTGTCTGGAATTAAAAACATTATTACAAGCTTACCGTTTAAAGGCAAGCAGATAGTTTTGAACACTGGCTGGTTATGTATTTTCTCAAATATGTATTTTGGATCATTTTAAACCCCCAAAAGGCTGACTGCAGCTTTAAACTGGAACGCTATTAATATATAGTAACAATGTTGCCCTCTAGCGGCTGAGATGGTGACGTACATCAAAACTAGGCGTAAAAATAGAAAATAATTTGTGCTGCATTAGACAAAACTTGCAAAACACATGACACAACACACCGTTTTGAAAAACAAGAAATAAAAAACTATAATTTATTTTTGTTGCTTTCTGCAATTTTCATTATTTCATTGTGGCAGTGAATAAACCAGCAAAAATAAGAGGTTCTCCAGTAATTAAAAAAAAAAAAAAAAAATCAAGAAACTAAAATCTGAGAGTTCAAGTAATGACCATTGAAAAGCAAAAGGGAGGAATAAAACGACGCTACCAAACTATAAGGTTTGAAAATACAACACAATATCCAACTAAGATCCAAGACTTAACTAAGAAGATTTTCAATATTTGGTCAAAGCCCTACTGATAGTGTTTTCAAGCATATTTAAGGATACAGATGAAGCACTGCCTACCCTGCTTCATTATATAAGACATGAAACGGTGCAGTGTAACAGTAAAGATGTGTTCACTGACCTTTCTCAACACATACTTCTAGTTTTGGTCCCTAAAACAGGAATCACAACACAACTGCAAGACAAACACAGCTAATCAGGAACAGAGTAAAGAGGCATCAATGGGTGCTAAAAGGTGCTCAGGCATACATTTAAAACAACAGAACATTTTGAAATACTCGTTTACAGATTGCATCAAAACAAATATGATGCCTTCGAGTGCGGAAAGGGGTTATAAGATGGTTGTCTCTCATTTTGATTCTCATATTGCTTTTAAAATATCACTGCCATTAATACATTCTCAGGTTAACACACTGAACACTCTTGCATTCACTTGTTTCAGTAATCTTTGTAGATATTTTACTGATGACACAGCCAGCTCTGTCTTAACTAACAATGAACAATAGTGAGCATAAAATGAATCAGCAACTCTCAAAATTGGAGGAACATTTCTGTCACGACATATTTGTGCTTCATCATCTTTATAAAACCGCTGGCAAACGTGGAATTTCAACATCTTTCTTTCAAAGCTCGAACATGACGAATAAAAAGTGACGTAGCACTACTACATCCTGTTCAAAAAAATAAGGAACCATCTACAGAACAAAAAAAATTAAATAATTCAATATCCTGAAGGTCCTATAAATGAGAGTCAAAATGACACAGGAACTGGTGTCTAAATCCATTAACACTATTGGGACTAAGTGCTACATTTTCCACCATAAGTAAATTATTTTACATTACAGATAGCGGTGTATAATTTTACCTTCAATGAATGTTTAGATGCAATATATTCATATTTATATTTATATATTTGAAAAAAAAAAAGTCACCACAGAATGTAAACAAATGTTAATCATTGAATAGCTTTGGGAGAGTTTATAATGAGCCACACGTGTTAGCAGACAAATGTATCACAAATACCTGTGGAATTCATTTTAAGGTTTGGGTCATCGAACATTTAAAGAAAAAAAAAAAAGCAGATGTTTATCAGATCCTTAGTTCATTGTGACTACAACAGTCATGCAGAAGCATACAGGTCCTTCAAAATAAAAACAAAATATGCCATAAAGCTCAGCTTCACAGTAACTTTCTATTACAGCAGTGTGTGTGTGTGGTTGATGTTGAACATGAAAAACCACAGGACAAGAGTTTTGGCAAACAACTTCTGTTTCGAATCAACCACTATGTGAGAGATATCAGTAGCAGGACAGCTATCAACAGTCAAAATGCATCTCGAGAGCATCTTCAAAACTCTGGTCCTCATCGGCGCTGGACGTGAGAAAAGAGGCCATGGGCGAGCCCGCGGACAGGCTGAGGACCCCAGCAGCGTTCGTGCCAGTGTTTCTGACCGAAATACTGGTGAGGTTGATGCCGAGAGTGAGCCTGGTCTGCTCCAGGGCTTTTTCAGGCACGGCAAAAGCCTCCAGCTTCTTCTCCCCGTTGGCCATGTACGAGTTCTGGCAGCCCCTGCAGATGCAGTCCAAACAGGCCTTACGGTTGGAGTAGCAGGGGCACCTTTGACCCCTGCAGGTAAGAACACTTGGATTCTGGGTGGCTCGTCCACACTTGCAGCCTTTTTTCTCTTGCGTCTTTTTGTATACGACTTTGGGAGGCTGGCCTGGCAACACGCTAGCCGAGAGCAGTCTGTCCTTCGGCTTGCCCTTCGCTTTCGGGACGGCCACTTTAGACTTGACCTGAACCTTCTTATTAGCCAGGTCTGTGTTTATCTGGATATTTTTAGTTGAATCCAGCACGGCCTTGTTGACCTTCAAAACGCATCCATTAGTGACCACGACAACCGGCGGGGAGGGTGCTTTCAGTTCAGATGCTGTTTTCGACGGAGCTGTGGCCGCTACCGATGGCCCCTGGATGAGGCTGGTGATGGGCAAAGGTTGGAGCATCTCACGGTCACTCTCAGAGCGAGAGCGCTTTCGGCTCAGGCGCACTTTTCTGTGGGCTGCGGCGAGGCACGTCTGAGGCTGTCCTGGCGTAAGGGCGTCGCTGGTTTGTGAGTGCTGACATAGCTCTGCTACTGATTCAGTCAGTTCACAAGACACCCCCTTGCTCGCAATGTCAGATTCAAGGTCCTCGAGGATCCTTATGTTCTCCGCACTGAGGTGCAAGGATTCAGCGCTTTCGTCTTGACTAACTTTGCACTTTACAGCGTTAACAGTGACAGAATTCATGAGTAGTTCTGAGTTAGATCTCAGAGGTTTGTCTGCACTGACTGGCTCGGGGGCCTCTAGCTCAGCTGGGATCTGCTCAGAGGGTTTGATGTCAGCAGAGTTTTCTGAGTCTGTCTCAATTTTGAGATGAGGAACATATGCAGCGTCTTTGACGGAACTAAACTCTTCTTGTTCCTGCTTCACCCCCAACACCTCTTCCAGCATCTTCTTGACCTCAGTGTAACCTTTGACCCCCAAGGCACTCTGCTCTGTCATGACGCACACCGAGACACACTCGCAGAGACTCCTGTAGCAGTCGATCAGAATCTGGAGCTGTTTATTCTCCTCAAATTGCTCATAGTCTTTACACCAGCTGCAGGATGGCTTCAATAGCATTTTCTTGCCTTTGCAAGCCTTGCAAACACAGTGCTGGCAGGAGGAGTCTTTTGGAGCAAGCGGCTCCTGAAGCAAATTTCCTAGATGAAAAGAATCAATAGATTAATTAAAAAAAATAATTAAGCAATACATAATAACATTATGCAATATTACGTTCTATAGAGTGGGATGGGTTATGCAAGTAAAAATCCCATTCATTTTCTACACAGGGAAATTGACTTTTAATGATAACTTATGGACTGCATTTATATAGTGCTTGCCTTTCACAGACCCAATGGCCACCAAAGCGCTTTACATTTTTTCCACACATTCACCCATTCACTCACTCATTCATTCATTCACCGACGGCGGTGTCAGCCATCCAGCTCGTCGGGAGCAGCTGGGGTTTCTTGCTCATGGACACCTCGACATTTGGCCAGGTGGAACAGGGGATTAAACCAATGTAGACAATTTGTAGACAACCTACATGAACCACTGAGCCACAGCCACCCAACTTATAAAGCATTAAAGACAGACCTGGGAGCTATAAATTTGTTAATCGATGGTAAATGCTCTAGTTAAAATCATTAGACTGCATTATTTCAAACATACATTTTAAGGATTTTATTTAATGACTGGAAGTCATTGTGAAAAACGACATCGCCCATGATGATTCTGCATCGAAATCTCCAACAATCAGGGAATCAAAACAAGTAAATTGTTTCAAAAGGACGCTTTAGCACAATCCAACACCAATGAACACCATGAATGACATGGCAGTCAGTCTCTCTATGCTCCGAAACTACTTGTTAACTACTTGTAAATATTTGTATGTATCTTTTGCAAAATTCATAAAAATCTCTCTCCCTCTCTAATATTTTTTTTATATATATATATATATATATATATATATAAATATAAATAATAATATATAATAAAAATAAATATATATAATTCACAGTGATTCATGGAATATTATATATATATATATATATATTATAAATAATTCCATGAATCACTGTGAATGATATAATTGATTTAAAAACAATGGAGATATACTCTATATACACAGTATAGGCCACATGGAGATCATTAAGAAATTATATCTTCTGTGTTTTACAGGAGCAATTTTACTTTGCACATGCTCTTATTAATTGTTTTCATAGATTCAAAGAGGAAAACGAAAGGTTTATAATTATAACAAATTATTCTAATTATTATTTTAAATTATTCTGCATTGTTTTTAATTTGATTATATTATTCACAGTGATTCATGGGATATATACATTTTTTTCCTTCATTAAAGAAGTTAAATATACAGTCTTGAAACTTTTTTGCTTTAAATCAAAGTTTGTAATGTGATTCATTTTGTCACAGGTTGGTTTGATTCATGACCTACAATAACTCCTTAAAATAACTTTTTAGAGTTAAATAAATAAAAGGGACATTTAAATAATAAACCAAGAAGTCTAAGTTGTGCTCACTGCAGAGCCAAATGACGTCCAGCGCCCCACTCTTGACGTCATAGGTGGAGCCTGACCAAGTCCAGCCCCACCTCTGTGGATCTAATGGGTGGAGGGATAGTTATGGGTAGGGTTAGGGTGTGGTTTGACCTTCTAGCACCACCCATTAATCCCAAATTACACCCAGAGAGGGGGAGCTGGACTTCACGCTCCACCCATGGCTCTGCAGTGAAAGCCCTGAAACAGAAGAGCCCTGAATTCAGCTTTCCATCATATCACTGCGCAGAACCCACAGAAGATCTCTTTTTATTGCGTAACAACGTTGTTGTGCCCATATACATCTATGATTATGGCACGGACTATACAAGAACAAGACTCATTTTGCCCTTAATAACATAACGTGTTTGAAACACTTTTATTAAGCAGTATCCAATAACAATAAAATCAATAACAAACTCGAGGCTGTGCTGTATTTTCTGAACTTATTAACGGCTAACATTACTTCGCTGCCCATTCAAAACATGCTTTTTTGCTTAGTTTTAAATGAAAGTTACTCACCACACACCAGACAGGATAGGGAGTCTCTAAAGAAAGGCAGGACGTTGAACAGCCCTTCGTATGACTCCGAATCCTTCGGGTCGCACTGCAGAAGAGAGCGACACGCCGATACGTACAGCGAGGTGGCGTTTACCGGGTTCATCTCAGCGACTTCAGTCAATAGCAGGACAAGAGGAACGGGCTGATCAACTACTGAGAGCGACTGATAAACTGACTCCCGAAGCAGAATAACGGGGAGAACACAATCAACCAGGCTTGACCCAACGGCTCAAACAAAGAGTGTAATTTGACATGACTCGCAAGCAGATGAGCGGCTTTGAGTCGTCTGCTTGTTAACATGTCGGTGTTTCGATGATCCTCCAGATGCTGTAAACGAAGTCTACACAGACTATAGTCTGCCTTCCATTAGTGTCAGATCCGGATTAACTTTTCCTCAATATGAATGGCGCTGCACGTTAGTGATAAAGTACACAGAGATGAAGGACTGGGCGATAAACAGCATTTCAGAGAGAAGCACAACAGGCCAGAGGTGTACAGTCGGCGACACGAGCTCAGCGAATAATCCGTCCACAAATAACAAATAGAAAAAAGAAGAAGAAAATCCGTTGCACAAAAAGTATAATCCTTTGAAATGATCAACCCAAGCGGTTATTTACAGTTTAACTGAACAAACCACACACTTCGCTTGCTTGCTAGTTCGCTAGCTAGCTAATACTGGCTGCACTTTTCTTCGGGTTGGTGAATAAGAGAGCTTTTCTCTCACTAACGAATGCAATTTGTTTATATAATATTCAACTGAATTCCCTACTTTGCAAGATATTCCCATACATTAGCCCGTGCTATAGCCAGTTGCTTATTATTCCTCTGTTAACTTTTGCATCCTGACTGAGAGGAACAATACCAAACAAGAGTAAAAGAGCGCTTGGAATTAAACACGTCCTCCAGTCAGTACTGCCCCCTAGTGTGAGACTGTATAAATCACACGCTACTACGAGGCTCTGTTTATATATATATATATATATATATATATATATATATATATTGAACAAAGATTGCAGTAGATAAATACATCACAAAGAAAGCACTAAAAAACAAGAAACTGGAGGTAGAGCAAAGCAATAATTAAACGTTGTATATTTCCTTTATTTGTTCTTTAACATCTTATGTAACAGATTTACATCTTCTTCAACAGTAGTATTTAATGAGGAATTCTTCAAAGGTTTTAATGGTTTTACAGCAGAATTTTGCTTTTATTTTTCCTTGGTCTAACGTTCAAAAAGCCATTCTCAAAACAACTGGGTAGCAGTTGGGAACTGTAGTTTATCATTGTTGACGTTAATATTGACTACATCTATCATGTTCGTCTAAAAACGTAGGGCTCTGCAGTGATTGGCTCATTCACTCACGCCCTCCTAGCTAACCGAGCAGTAATTGGCTCTGAAAAGTAAGCGGTTGTTGCTGATTGGCTGAATACACCGATAGGGGTTTCCGATAGCTTCTGTGTCCTCAGTAGCAGTGATGGCGACCTACACGTTAATTCGAAGTAGTCTGGGACTATTACATCGCCTAAAATGTTCTTTTAAAAGTGTAGGTCAGATTCCGTACGGCGCAGTCGCTGGGGCATTCGTCCAATCGAAAGTACTGCAAAATGCAAGATGCTATTCTGTCAGTCATATGTCTGTGCAGGAGAGAATTGAGAAGAAGCGAAATGCAGCGCTAATAGGAGGAGGGCAGATGAGGATAGCTGCACAGCACAAAAGGGTAAGTTATGAAAAGTTTCATAGTTGACATAACGTTAAGTGAAAGCACAACAATCCGAGAAGAACTGCGTAATGCCTGTGCGCAGGGTAAACTGACAGCGAGAGAGAGAGTGAAGCTCTTGCTGGACCAGGACTCGTTCGTGGAGTATGACATGTTTGTGGAGCATCGCTGTTCTGACTTCGGCATGGAGGCAGATCATAATAAGGTATGTCACCGCCACCTCGCAGGTCAAAGAAACTACAATGAATGCAGAAATATTCCTATTTTTCCATGTCATAAGTTATAAAATAAAAACAGCGTTCAATGTCAACATCTGCTGAGATAGGAGGGCCTTGCACTGAGTAGACTTGGACAAAGTGGGGTTAAGGTGTTAATGCATTTCTAATAATTATAATAGAGTAAGGAGAAGAGATTTGGTGACAGCTCAATTTTCATGACGTAAGAAAATAATACTGAAATTTTAGTTACGATCTGAGGTCTATAACAGCACAGTAAATGTTAGCATCACCCATTGTTATTTTTAACACTTGTAGACGAGGGACACTAATGATTTGCCTCACCCTGTCTTTGTTTTCAGTACCCAGGAGACAGTGTAGTGACCGGACAGGGGAGAATCAATGGAAGACTGGTCTATGTTTTCAGCCAGGTATGATACTAGCTTTTGACCATAGGTTTGTAACATTAAAATGTTTTATTTGAATACCGGCTATCTCCATTTTCTTGTCATAAGTGAAATGCTCCTCTGTCCACAGGACTTCACCGTGTTCGGAGGTAGTTTATCAGGAGCTCATGCTCAGAAGATCTGCAAGGTGAGACTGGTCAGGTTTGGATCTGACTTAAAAAAATGCATAGGCAAAATTCTGTCAAACAGTAAAATCACTGAAATTTAATTCCTAGATCATGGACCAAGCTATGATGGTTGGAGCCCCAGTAATCGGTCTCAATGACTCGGGTGGAGCCCGCATTCAGGAAGGGGTTGAGTCCCTTGCAGGATATGCTGACATATTCTTGGTAAACTTGGGGGAAAATTTTGGATACATACACTACATTCAAAAGTTTGGGCTTGATCATATTTTTATTTTTTTAATGTTCCCTTATGCTCACCTAGGCTGCATTTATTTGATCAAAACTACATTAAAACAGCCATATATATGTATTTTAGACATTGTAAGACGGACTGTTGCCAACATTTTTTTGCACTTTACAACCATTTGAATGATACCGACGCGTGGCACTTCCCGCTATTCTTGAACAAGCAGATTTTAGTTTTTTGTTGATTATATATTTATATCACTAACTGAACCTTAAAGCACTTTCCTCGAAAAAAGCTCGAAATTTTGTACTTTAAAGTTTTGGTCTTTTTTCCAGTTTCCTATCTTCAGTGTCACATGATCCTTCAGAAATCGTTCTAATATGCTGATTTTGCTGCTCAAGAAACATTTCTTATTATTATCAATGTCAAAAACAGCTGCGTAATATTTTAGTTTTTCAGGTTGTTTTGATGAATAGAAAGTTCAATTTAAAGTGTTTATTTAAAATAGATTTTTTTTTCACCATAAATGTATTTCCTGCTACTTTTGATCAGTTTAATGCATCCTTGCTGAATAAAAGTATTAATTAAAAATCATACTGAGCCCAAACGCTGGTAGCGGACATATATTCCAGGACTTACTGCACAATGGTATTTGTTCTTCAGCGGAATGTGATGGCCTCAGGTGTAGTTCCTCAGATCTCTCTCATCATGGGCCCGTGTGCAGGTGGTGCCGTGTACTCGCCTGCTCTGACAGACTTTACCTTCATGGTAAAGGTAAGAAAAGTACATTTTTGAGTGTAAATGCATATTACATTTGAATTCAGATTTCTTGTGTATATTTTAATTTTAGAATCAGGTCCCTGCTGGTACACCAATTTGTCATGAAAAACTTGAAACTGTGTTTGCAGGACACCTCCTACCTTTTTATCACAGGCCCAGATGTGGTGAAATCTGTAACAAACGAGGATGTTACCCAGGAAGAGCTGGGTGGAGCAAAAACCCATACCGCTGTGTCGGGTAGGTCGATCGATTTAACCTGTGCGTCTGACTGAAGATTATCTTTGCTTTCTTGTAATATGAAGAGCTTTTTGCTTTCTTTCAGGTGTTGCTCATCGGGCCTTTGAGAATGACATTGATGCCCTTCTGAACTTGAGAGACTTTTTCAACTTTCTCCCACTAAGCAACAAAGATCCAGCTCCAGTCATTGAGTGCCATGATCCTCGGTGAGGAACCGTACTTTTTCTTTTCTTTCTTTATCAGTCAACTTCTCTTGACCAGCTGGGCCAGTCTGCTGCTATCATGTCAATTTGTTTTCTTCAGCGACCGGCTGGTTCCTGGTTTGGACACTGTTGTTCCTTTTGAAACCACAAAAGCTTATGACATGCTGGACATCGTTCATGGTGTATGTACATCTTTAGTTAACAAACAATTCAAAAAGTCATGCAAAAGCTCATCAGGTAGTGCTTATGATTGTCATTTCACTCTTACAGATAGTAGATGAGAGAGAATTCTTTGAGATTATGCCCAACTACGCCAAAAATATTGTGGTGGGATTTGCCAGGATGAATGGTCGGACTGTAGGCATAGTGGGAAACCAGCCAAAAGTGGCATCTGGTGGGTTATTATTTTATTTTATACTTTTATTCACACATTAAAGCTTCAGTCCGTAACTTTTGGGTTAAAAATTATCCAAAATAAATGTTTGAGTAAGTACATAACCAGCCAGTGTTCAAAACTATCTGCTTGCCTTAACTCGATTCAAAGCGGTAAAGTTGATAATTCCGCGAATGACTGCAAATGCAGATTTCGAACAGAGATGGCGACAAAGAGAAAAAAACTACGGACTGCAGCTTTAAATTGATCAAAAGTAAAGACTTACAAAGAATCCTGAAAAAATGACCATGGTTTCCACAAAAATATGAAGTAGCACAATTGTTTTCAACAAATTTGAGCAGCAAATCAGCATATTAGAATGATTTCTGAAGGATCATGTGACACTGAAGACTGGAGTAATGATGCTTAAAATTCAGCTTTGCCATTACAGGAATAAATTACATTTAAAATTATATTACAAGAGAAAGCAGTTATATTGAAGTTGTAATAATTTTTCACAATATTACTGTTTTACTACATTTTCAATCAAATAAATGCAGCCTTAGTGAGCATTAGAGATTTCTTCAAAAACTTCTGAACAGTAGCGGTTATTACATGTAAAATATTCTTGCATATTATGTAAACATAGATTTCACATTTTTTGTTATGTCCCTTTTTTCTTGTGTATTTTAGGCTGTTTGGACATAAATTCATCTGTTAAAGCGGCCCGCTTTGTTCGTTTCTGTGACGCCTTCAACATTCCCATCATCACATTTGTGGATGTGCCTGGATTCCTGCCAGGTGTCTGGAGACATTTTATTATCCTAACCTTAACTTTGCTGGGGTTTTTTCAAAATCATTTTAAATAGAATTTTTAAATAGAATACTGACAGAAATGTTCTGTGTTTCCACAGGCACAGCTCAAGAGTACGGAGGCATCATCAGACACGGAGCCAAACTGTTGTATGCTTTTGCCGAGGCCACAGTTCCAAAAATCACTGTCATCACTAGGAAGGTAGGAGGCAGAATGATGAGTGTGCATGTGTACGGTTCTAACTAGCTTGTCTGCTGAATCCTATGTGTCCTGTCTTCAGGCATATGGAGGTGCTTATGATGTGATGAGTTCCAAACATTTGAGAGGAGACGTCAACTATGCCTGGCCATCCGCTGAGGTCGCAGTGATGGGTGCAAAGGTAAAACTGAAGACTAATGAGCTGAAACAAGTTATATGGCCAATGCACTTGCATAATAAATATGCATTGTGGGTGAATTATGGGGCTTTCTAGGGCATTTATGAGCTTAAAGCCAAACCTACCAGCTGCATTTAAATCTCAGGATGGCTAAATATTTTGTGGGCTATATATATATATATATATATAATTAGCCCCAAATAAATATATTTGTGTTAGAAGCCAGTTTTACGAAATTCTTTATCCGGTAACCAGTTCAGAGGAGTATCAGATGGACATGAGAGCATCCAGAGAGCGTCAGCCCAGATATACACTTACAGCGGCAATGATCACTATGCTTGGCTCTTTTCAGTGATAAGTTGCTTGTC